GTCCCACGTTAGGCTCCCTGCATGGAGCCTGCTTCTCTCTCTGCCTGTGTCTCTGCCTCTCTCTCTCTCTCTCTCTCTCTCTCTCTCTCTCTGTCTCTTATGAATAAATAAATAAATAAAATCTTTAAAAAAAAGTGAATATAATTAGAATAATCCTTATAGGACACATAGTCTCTGGGGGAAATATAATTTGTAATCATGTAATACTGATGTTGCTATAGCATCTTTTGATAATCCAATTGCTTATATAAATTTGAACTGTCATACTTTTAAGTTTAATGATAATTAATATATATGTATTACACAGACACGCACACACACCATACCCTTTGGTCAATACCGATGGGCTCCACTCCCAGATCTAATTGGTCCTGCATTGACTAGAGGGGACCATTCTGACTCGGCGTCTGTAGAAAGTCCACTAGCTTTTGATGGCACTGGCTTTCAAATTTTCACTTTATTTTGTGGAGTTTTTATATAAATATTGTGGCAGTTTTTATTTTTAAATAAACAAAATATGAAGCAGGTAAGATTGCTTTAACTGTGCCCACAGAGTTTCAGCAGCTACCAAAGCATCTATAGTGTGGCAATTGGGAGGTGGCTGCAGAGGCTTGTATGCATGAGAGCAAATGTATGTTCTCTCCGGAACACCCCATGAAGGAGCAAGCTGTAGACACGGCCTTCAGTCTCTGATTTCCTCCATATTAGTAGGTCAGTTTACCTCTTTGGTAAAGGGACAGTACCTTGACAGTCTTATAGGGTTGATAATGAGGGTCAAATGATATATTGGACTTGAAAGCACTTTGAAATCATGCAGGTAGGTGGGAGTTTTCCTCTCTTTCTCATTACAAACAGGAATAACTAAAGAGTATATTTCCTGGAACACAGCAGCATATGAAAATTTCGGAGAGGGCCTGGTACGCTCTCTAGGAAGCCTCTCCATCTTCATTCTGGGAATGCTCAGAGTGGCAACAGCATCCCTGAGGTTGTCTCCATCTGATATTGACATCATTAATCATCACTTTTTGAGCCAATAATCTTGTTTTGTTTTTTAATAAAGGAAATCTCTTTGGGATCATACTATTTTTTGTCTATTACACTAAACTTGTGTCCCATGGATTTGTAGAACGAACATGTAAATGTGTCTGAATGAACCTAATCTATACAAGTGTTGATTAGTTTTCCATATTATTTTAGCACTTTGGAATAATGGCAGATCTTGGCGCACATTGAAAATTAGAATTTTTACAAATGTGGTTCTTAGTATATGTGGATAGTTTTAGAGTGTGCAATATATTTTAGATGTATAGAAGTGCTTCAGAAGACATACTGGGCGATTGTTAACTGGGTGGTTGCTAAACTAATCGAAATCATTTATGCTCACTCTTCTACTCAAGAACCAGCTTTGAGCTTTGGTATGCTGAAAACAGAACCTCAAACTTCTGACAAAGAAAGGAAAGCAACTCTGACTGGCACCAGCAGATGGTGCCGATGGTCACAGTCTTTCCTTCATCCCCAGCCTCACATCCATTTCATTGTCTGGTTAGTGTGTCTGTGCTTAGTTTGGATTATCTTAATAAGAATATTAATAACCTCATCATTTCTGATAAGCGCAAAAGCAGTGAGAATGTTGAAATGCTGGCATCAGGGAGGAAAAAATTTCCTGTCTTTCAAGGTCCTCCAGGCCAGGCTAAGAATCAAATTGACACGAGATAGATTAACGGGAGAAAATCAAATTAATTTCATATGTATGGGAAACCCACATACATGGAAATTCCAAAGACAGTCAAGTAAAATAAGATATATGTATCATCCTGAACTAAAGAGAAAGAGGCTAGGGGTCTGGGACTTAAAGGGAAGGAATGCAATTCACAGGAAATGAAAAGGAGTGAATGTTTGGTGAAATGTTTACTGGGCCACTCAGAAAGAATGGGACATAGGGGACTTTGATCAGACAGGCTTTGCTGGGTTCTTTGTTTCTGCTGTATCCCATTCGCAGTATGATGTAGTTGTCTGTAGCAATGGTTCTCTTTCTGGAGCAGGTCCTCTGTCTAAATTCTTTTAGGCATTTGCAGGTGAGGAGTTAAAGAGCTTTTCCTGAATACATTGTGGGTTGATTACTTTTAACTCAACAAGAATCTGCATGCCAAAGTGGTCCATCTTGGGGTAGCTTGCCCTTGGTGATAGAAAAAAATTAAGATCATTAAAAAAAGCAAATGTTGAGAAAATAGTGTTGTATGTGTGTATAAGATGAATCATTCAGTTGAACAAATAATTCTATGGGACAAAGAACTCAGAGTACATGTGAAGTGTTATATCCGTGACAGTAATTGGCATGCGATAGGAGGAAAAACATTTGGCAAAGTAGAATATATGTTAGAAGAGACGTGTCAGATGCCTGTTAGTCTGATGCTAATTCAGGAGACAACTGAGACTTTGTTGAGAGCTGAAAGGCTGAGAATGGTGGAGGTGCCACTGGCAAATCATTGGTCCCAAGCTCTGCTGGCTGCATGGGTCCAGGTCCTGTGACAAGCCAGTGGAGAGGCTGAGCGTGTAGCTACTGTAGCTGGAAATTTAATCTACAATGCTTGAGGAGGCAAGGGTGGGGGGTTACCTGCCTAATTTTCAACATAGCAGAAACTGATCCTTTTTGCAAAATGATGCCCCACACATCTTATATTATTGAAGAAAGGGAGAGTGAGCCTGTTTTTAAAGCTCACATTCCTTATGGTAGAAATTTATTCAGAGACTGCAAGTCAAAGCCCTTTTTAAATAGATATACACAGAAACTATTGGAACAATTCTGACCCGTTCATAAATTAGGAGGAATGGTTACTGTAGTTTATTTGTTTGTTTTAAGATTTTATTTATTTATTTGACAGAGAGGGAGCACACACAAGTAGGCAGAGTGGCAGGCAGAGAGAGAGGGAGGGGCAGGCTCCCCCCTGAGCAGGGAGCCTGGTGTGGGGCTCGATCCCAGGACCTTGAGACATGACCTGAGCCAAGGCAGCTGCTTAACTGACTGAGCCACCCAGGAGCCCCTATTGTACTGTTTTGGATGCAAAGCAATTATGTATCCTTTTATAATATTAAAATAAACAGCAAGTCAGAATATGGTAGGTTGCAGTTGTGAAACCTATAGGATCTATTATTTTGCCAAGAAATAAGCATAATGAAACCTTTTTTTAAAAAAAAATATTTATTTATTTATTCATGAGAGACACAGAGAGACACAGACACAGGCAGAGGGAGAAGCAGGCTCCATGAAGGGAGCCCGATATGGGACTTGATCCCAGGACCCCAGGATCACAACCTGGGTGGAAGGCAGATGCTCAACCACTGAGCCACCCAGGCATCCCACATAAAGAAACTTTTGATCTACAACTCATTTCCTATCATTACAATGTTGATATAGTGGAAAAAGTATAAACTCAAGCCAGCTGTGTGATGCCAGCAAGGTACACAGCTCCTCTGAGATTCAGTTTCTTCCTCTGATAATTGGGCACTGTGTTACCGATCCATCAGAGATGTTGTGAGGAATAAAATCACATTTAGTAAGTCACTAACACAGTGCCTCATCATAATGGGCCTTCAGTGACTAGTGGCCATCAGTGGAAGTAACACTAATAGTAAGAAATCCCAGCAGAGGATTTGAAGGGTGCCACCAGCAATTGCTGTGGCCAGTTTTATTAACTAAGATAAATGAAACTTTTGTAACAAATAGACCAAAAATGCAATGGTCAAACACAATGGAAGTTCATCTTTCTCCCTTATAACATCCAGGATGGGTTCTGGTTCAGGAGGGAGAGGTTCACACAGTCAAGTAGGGACTCAGGCTTTTGATGGCTTTCCTGTCTTCAGCAGCAGTGTGACTGTGATCACCATTCTAGCCCAAAGGAGGGAGGAAGTGGCCTAGAGGCATGTGTGAAGGAGGTTTTAAGGCCTAGAATAAAAGTGGCAAATACCAGTTTTTACCTACATTATATCAGAGATAACTTATTCCCCTGGGCACACCTAACTGCTAGGGCAGCTGGGAAATGCAGTGTAGCTACTGTGGAAAAGAGGGCAAAATAGTAATGACTCTACAGTATCCTCTGTGCTCCACACTGAATCTTGGTAAGTAAATGTACCGACATTTTCTGAACGATACCAAAATTCAGGAGTGAGTCCTCAGTCACAAGACACATAAATCCTGGTAATAAAGGTGCAGTTGGCTCTATTAAGCTGTCTAGGGCATGTGGCTTTTCATGCTGGGACTTGGCCCAGACTCTGCACTCAGGCCAGGGCCCGGGTGAGGGGGTCACGGGTAGCTGACCTGGTCTATAGAGGCACTTGGTGTAATATGCCAGCCCCGTTGTAATGCCAGAGCAGTTGGCATGTGGTGGGCAGGAGTGACACTAGGGAATCCAGGCGATGGATCTGGGAACCCCATGGTCAGGAATTGCCTCCTGGGAAATCCATCTCTCCAGCAGTAGGAACCCAGACACTGGGCTGGCTAACAGGGATGGAGAGGGAGTGCAATCAGGCAGGGAACATGGGCTGGCTCACAGGCAGGCACCAGTCATGCTTCTGGTCCTAGCCAGGGAGTGAGGCATATGCAGTGAGATGGCAGTGACTAAGTGTTTCTCTGATCTGACCTAAAACAGGATGACATAGAGCAGGGATAGAGAGAAAAAGAGAATTTAAATGAAGGGATGATGGTGATGTCTAGAAGTCATTCAGGGGCCCTGGGGCCAGCTGGGAACAAAATACAGAAACCCACTCATCATGACCAAACCACCTCAGGGTCCCTACTGAGTAGGGAAGCTGAGGCTTCACATACCTACTGCCTCGGTCATTACCGCTCAGGAACTCAGGTGCTGGTGGGACACATTGGTGCCTCTACCTATGGGGGGAAGCAGGTTAAGGGACATTGAATCGAGGGAAGCATTAACAGATTATCTGCTGAAATTACATTGTAGCTCTAAATGGTATAAAAATGTGTTTCATTTAATTTTTAGTCACTCTCCAGTTCCTCAAGAAATATTCAACAAATGTTGGCAGATTCTATCAATCGTATGAAGGCATATGGATTTCACCAGGTAAAGACTTAAATTCTGTCTTCAGGGGGCTAAATTCATAGCCATTTCCACTAATATTTCACAAACTGCTATATTAGTCTCATGCAGAAATGAAAGCAGCAGAATGTGAAATCTGTCTTTAAAAGCTCGTGAACATAGCTATTCATTTTTACCTGTTTGTCTGGAGTTGCGAAAGTCTTGAGGATTGTGGAAAGAACAGCTGCCAAGACATATCTGCTAAACTCCTCACAGAAGATCTAAAACAGACAACATCCTGGGCTACACTGAACACTGAGGGAACACTGATTTCAGAGAGCTATAAACGAAGCATTTAGCTTGGCAGAAATCTGAATTCATATTAAGTTCTTTGTGTGTTCCTTGTTTCTGGGAGATTGACCCTTTCCGATGAGCAGCCTCTTGTGCCATCCAGGCCCACTGTGCCAGGAGCTCCTTGGGCACTCAGATCTCTCCTCTCACACATCCATCCAGGTATCATTCTCCCTATAGATACAGTCTATAGGGCACAGTGTTTCCTCCACCATGCTAGGCCATGACCATTGGCCCATTGCACTGACCATGCCTCATGATAAATGGGGCATGACAGGCAGTTGGAGACCATCGTAGGATTTGACCTGCAGAAAGTTTGAAAAAGTAGTATAAGATATGAGACTGTGAAGAGAAGGTTCTGAGTGACTACAGGCCTGAGATGGAGCCATGGTGGAGGCCTGTGTTCCAGCAGACAGTGCCATCGATTCCCTGACTGGTCTGCAGGGATGTGCATGAACTGGGATAGCTTGCATGGAGACTTAGTGAAACCATGATGAATTTTTGCAGTGTAGTCCAGTGTGCATACCGCTGGCATAATAGGCACCTTTCTAAAACAGCAGCAATAAAGCATCTAAAGGAAAATTTCAGTAAATCTGAAATTTTGTGTTCAAAATTTCATCTTAAATGATAGAAAGACAAAGGGTTTATATGTTTATTCAACCAACTGTCTGTTGAGTTCCTCCTATGTGCTAGGCACTGTTACAGGGACTACAAACACAGCAAAGCATAAAATCCCTGCCCTCAGGAAGCCTGTATTCAATGAGGGAGACAGACAACAAACACATCTATGAAGTCAGATGATCATAAGCTCTGTGGAGAAAAATAGTGCAGGATGAAGGAGCTGAGGAATGCTGGGACGTTGGGAATTGGCTTTTTATAGAGGTGGTCAGATAAGGCTACTCTGAGAAGGCACTATCGGAGTAGAGACCTGAAGGAATGAGGGAGGGAGCTATGCGGATCGCAAGGGGAAATTATGTTCCAGGCAGAGGCAACAGCAAGTATGAAGGCTCGCTGGACATGGTCAGGGAATAGCAGAGAGGTCAGTGAAAGAGAAGGGAGACTAGGGCTGAGAAATCATGGAGACCCCTGTAGGGAAATCATGCAGACCCTGGGATCTTGGTGTTCTGTCAAGCCATGATGAAAGATGAGATCATCTAGAGAGTGAGTCTTGACGGAAAAGAGAAGAGGACCTGGGCTTTTTTGTCTCCAAAATAAGGGGGGTAGACTAGACCAGTGGTTATCCAGCATTTTTAGTTATGAGATAGGCAGATTTTCTCTGTCTTTACACTCTCTCAGGAGAATGGCCATAGCCATGGACCAATCCATCTCTTCTCTAACTTAAGAAATTATAGGGACGCCTGGGTGACTCAGTGGTTGAGTGTCTGCCTTTGGCTCGGGTTGTGATCCCGGGGTCCTGGGATCAAGTTGTGCTTTGGGCTCCCTGCAGGGAGCCTGCTTCTCCCTCTGCCTGTGTGTCTGCCTCTCTGTGTGTCTCATCAATCAATAAACAAAATCTTAAAAAAATATTATATGGGAACTCAAGAGAATGGATGAACAGATAGATCACTCACCCATCTTCTCTATAGAACAAAGAATAAAACAGAGCCTTCCAATTTTGGAGGCAGTGGAGAGGATCTAATGAGGAAACTGGAGGGAACTATTTCTATTACAGGCTGGGATGGGAGGCTTTCTGTGGGAGATGTTTTGACATCAAACTGCCCATCCCTGTGTTTAAACCTCAGTCAGTGGCTGTTTGGACCAGGGTCCATCCTCAGCTTTGCTGCTCCTTCATCCCCTCACCGGACTTTCCCATGCTTAGCTCACCATCCCATCCTGGACCTACATGCTTCCTGCAAACACTTCTAAAAAGGAATTGGTGGTTTGGTTTCCTAAGCAGCGGATGTAAAGACCAATCTGTAAAGATTTTGCTCAAAGTAAATTTTCTGGAGGAATTCTTAGAGAAACTCAGGACAAAGTCCTTAAGTTTTCCAGCTTCTTGGAATAAATGTAGTTGTCAGGGCTCATCTCATCCATTACTCTGTGAAACTTGTTAATTTGTTTTCTTTCCTTCTGTTCCCCATACAGAATGATACTGCAGGTTAAAAAGGAATATGATTTACTTGCTGTAGCACTCCCCAACATTTGATTGTCATCAACCACATACCACCTGCATTATTAGGAACTGAATATTTCTCCTTCAGTGGAGTCACTTTGTAAACTTTTTGCTTTTCCTAAGCAACAATATTCATGCTGTCATGGTTTAATGTTATAGCTCTATTCTAATCATTTAAAATCATTTTAAAATATTCATGTGGAAGTTGAACAAAGTTCCACTTTTAAGTTTTTTTATGTTTAAACTTAGAAATTGCTAGCAGTACTTTTTATGTATTTCAGGTTTATAAATGGCTTCAGTTAGGTGACAGCAAATTTTAACAGTCACTTAAAACACCAAAAGCTGTTTTTTCAGTTTTTGTAATATTGTAAACCAAGAGGGCTTAGCTCTAGGCAGAAAAAGAAAGTAAGAAAAAAATACACAAAAGTTGAAAATAATAAGAACACAAAAGTTCAGTTACATCTGAAATGAAATACAGTGTATGAATTATCAGCTTTTACATTAACTGTGATTTATGACTTCCCACAATGGTTGAAAACAAGTTTCCCAACATCAAGGTTTATATTTTAGTTGAGGTGAAATAGTTTAACAGAAAGAGTGTCTTTATCCTTTTATTATGGGAAAGCATAAAAGAAAAAAAACTCATTTTTAGGATGGAGAGCGAAGCATGGTCAGGCTTTTATACAACCTCTTAGCTTGTTTATTGAGGTGACCAAGGCTTTTATTTAGTTCACCAAGTGCTAAATTCTGTTTTCTAATAAGCACTCAAAAGGCAGTACCCAAATAAACAAAGTATTTTTTTTAAAAAAAGATTTTATTTATTTATTCATGAGAAACACAGAGAGAGAGAGGCAGAGACACAGGCAGAGGGAGAAGCAGGCTCCATGCAGGAAGCCCAACATGGTACTTGATCCCGGGTCTCCAGGATCATGACCTGGACTGAAGGCGGCACTAAACCGCTGAGCCACCTGGGCTGCCCAACAAAGTACTTTTTAGGTCTAAGTGATCTGGTGTGTGATTCTCTTTAGTTAAAAACTAGTTCCTTTAATGCCATGGAGCTGTTCACTTCAAAATGGCTAACACAGTAATTTTTATGTTATGTATGTTTTACAATAAAAAAAAGCATATTTCCTTTTAAAGGAGGACTTGTGTTTCTTATTTTATATTTTTTCAAAGAGGATGTTTAGTAAAAAAATATATATATTATATATATATAGTAAACAAAATATTCCTTTTTGGGTCATCAAAAATGTGTAAGTACCACATTTTAAGATAATTTTTTAAAGAGATTTATTTATTTTGAGAGAGAGAGAGAGAGAGAGAGAGAGAGGACAAACAGGGGTTGGGAGTGTAGACGGAAAGGGAGAAGCAGGCTCCCCGCAGGGAGCCCGTGGGAATGGATCCCAGGACCTGGGAATCATGACCTGAGCCGCAGGCAGACGCCCAACCACTGAGCCCCCAGGCCCCCCTAGTACCACATATTTAGACACACTGGTTTGAGAGCACATGGAGATACAGCCGAGACTGCTCTAGAAATGTACTGTTATTTTATGGAGCTGGTCAGATACTGCAGTGTTCACACACTGCCTCAGGGAATTCAACTGAAACCTGGTAAGTGCTGTTGAAACGGGAGAGCTGGGTTCTCGTGCGGACACCAGAGCCAGCAAAGCGACAGATGTTTATTAACCAGAGATACAGAGGAAGCTCTAGGAGTGAGAGGGATCCTGACAGGGTTGCTGAGGGTTTGTAGGGTCTGTCTGTTATAGGGACCTTACCAGGGGACTTGGTACATTTCATGTCACTATCAGGGTGGCTCTTCAGAACAAACATGGCAGACTTGTAACCATCAGAATGACAAACAAGATGGTTTTATGAATATCATGAGCCCAAACAAGGTGTTCCCTTTTCTCAGGTTAACATCTCCATAACATTTCTCTACATCTGGGATTTCTGCAGCCTAGTCAGGGAGCCCATGGCCTTGAGATTCTTGTGTGGTCTTGGTTTGAGCAGGGACTATCGATAACACCTTAATGACATGTTTCTGTGATTACTTAGTAGCCATTAAAAGGGGGAGACTCCCTAACATTTTGGAGTTAGGGAGCCAAGTTTACTTTTTTCTGTTTTTACTGTTTTATCTCTGTTTTCTTGGGATGGGTAGGAGCCTGACTCTGGGGCTTTTCCCTTATCATTCCCTGCTTAGCCCTATCTGCCTCTAAGTCATTCCTACATCACTGTGTTTGAGAAAAATGGATATTTATTGAGTCTCACTGTGTTTCATATACTATGGGAGATACTTTTAAAATATTATTTAACCCTCACTATAACCTTATGAAACATTCTAAATTTTCTAATTCTGCTAAGGCAAAGACAGCCTAAGAGAGGTTTGGTAATGGTCCCTAAGGTGGTATAGCTAGGTCATGACAGAGTCAGCCTCAGGTATCACCGACTCCAAGCTTTTCCTGCAACAACAAACTGCCCAGTCAGGGGCCAGTGGGAGTCACACAGAAACTAGGCCCCTCAGTGCCCTTGGCCCCTCTGCCTCCTCCCCCTCCCCCCACCTCTCCCTTCCTCCTCCCCCCACCACCTCCTCCCCTGCCTCTAAACCCTCCTCGCAGAAAACTGCCAGAGTTAATCACTAGTGTTTATTTCTGGTTTTTATTTCTTCTTTTAAACAGAAGAAAGAATCCATGAAGAAAACACAAGATGAAGAACTAAAACAAATAGACGAGGAGAAAACCAAGCAGATTTATAAAAGCTGGAAAGAAGATTCGGAGTGGCAGGCGTCTCGTGAGTACCCAGAGGCCTCTGTAACACCTTAGACCCACCGGGCCAATTCCTTCTCTTAACAAATGATCAATCCAGGAAGCACTTAAAATGGTTGTTGAGAGAATTATTACCAAGTTGTTACACAAAGGCTTACGAGTCACTTCTTGAATAGTAGGAAGTTTCTCCATTGTCTTTGTGCCATCACAGCTGTGGTATAGTATGTCTGTTTGATGGAACAGTATATAGCTCTGAAAAAACATGTTTTGGAAATGTTTAAGGACCTTAGGATATGTTTATAAATTGTTTTTCACTTGAAGAAAAAAAATTATAAAATAGTATGAGAAACATCCCCTATTTTAAAATGCCTTGGTATGTGAAGTAAAAGAACTAGAAAGTTATTAACATGTTAATTTTTTTTGAAGAGATGATATTTCAGATTTGTTTGAATTCTTCTTGTTATTCTTTACTTTTCTAAATTTTCATAGCGAACTCATCTTAACTTTGTAAGAGAAGAACCAGGGATAACCAATTGAATATATCAGCATCTGTCCCATGCCTGTGACCTGACCCTAACTCCTTTTTGAGTTAGCGCTGCTGGAGATGACCCTCCTCAGGAGGAGGTGGGGTGGGCTAAGGCAGAGCAGAATGCACTCAGGGATGCTAGGAGACAATGCAGGTTTGAAATACCAGTAGGGTTTCCAGGTGACTCAGAAAGAGCTTTACCAGCTGGGTCATCCGTTGGGGCCAGTTAAGGGAGAGAACGAGAGTGAGAATGTTTGCAGGATGTGGAGCATCCTGTCTTCAGTTTCATTAGTGAACACCATGAACAGGACAGTTTTTGTGAAATGAAGATATTTGCAAGATCCAATCACTTCTCTGCAGTGAAATTCTAGTGTAATGGAACATTTTTGGCATCTATTTGAAATGAGACTTAACAGGGCTTGACCAAGAATGCCTGAAGTGCAAATACACTCAATAAAAATTAGTCCTAACATCCTGCATCATAGCCCTTTACTGCCGTGTTGCTAAAACAAACACAAAACAAAACAATAAGCCCTCTATTATACAAAGCAACATTAGAAGGTGGCCTTGAGGTGCTTTTATGTGTACCAGCACGTTCTCTGATTGCCGTGAGAACCATTGTAGTGTTTTCCCTGGCAGGCCAGTTCACAGTTGGCTCAGCTCTGGGGGGCCTCTGAGTGTGATCTTTGGCGGGACTGGCCCACCTGTCACCCTGTCCACAGCCATGAGTGACTGCACCAGGAGCTGCCGACAGCTGGTCGCCGCTAGTGACCCGAGCTGAGGGCGTCAGGGAAGTGACATCACCTCTTGGTCAAAGGCTCTGGGCCAGTTGGAATTCGCACTCGGGCTATGACTCATCCCTTGGTCTTGCCAAGTGCAGGAAATTCTCCAACACGTGGTTCTCCAGTTCTATCTCCTCCCTTCCTCGTCCTCCTTCTCCCCCTTAGGAAGCCCTCCCGCCACTGCCATTGTCACCGCCACCACCACTGCCACCGCCACCCTTAGAAAGACAGAGATTGTGCGGCAGGCTGGGCAGTTGTGGCTGCACAGGCCCGAGCTGTGTGAGCCGGAGGTGATGACAGCGACGGTCTGTTATCAGCAAGTGACAGCATCTCCTGAGGGACTGCTCCCTTCACCAGCAGATCCTTCCCACCATCTCCTTCTCAAATCCCCTCGTTTTCCTAGTGCGAAAATCCAAAGCAGCTGACGAGAAGAGACGCTCTTTGGCGAAACAGGCGCGGGAGGACTACAAGAGGCTGTCCCTGGCGGCGGACAGGGTAGGGAGCGGAGGGGGGCAGCACGGCGCCCCAGCTGTTCCGCAGAGACCCAGGAGACCCCCCCTTCCACCCAAGCCGCAGTTCCTGCACCCAGCGGGGTCCCCTCGGCAGCCTCTCAGGTAGGAAGCCACATAGACGGCTTGCAGCGCAGGCAAAGGGCAGGCGGCCCGGGGCGGGGGGGGGGGGGGTCGCGGCCGCAGCGCGGAGCCCAGCTCTCCTCCACTTGGCCAGTCGCCCCAAGGTCACCGCGCCGGATGCACCCCTTGTCGTCTGGAAAATACCCACCGTTGTCATAATTAAGATAGACAGTGATTAAGGATGAACACGGAGTTGGTGCCTCCGCGCCCCACCAGTGCCCCCATCAGTCCCCCACCAGCGCCCCACCAGCGCTCCCACCGGCGCCCCACTGGTCCCCCATCAGCTCCCTACGATGGCCACTGAGGGGGAAGCAGAATGGGTTTCAGTCAGGACTCAGCATCACCCTTAGCCTGCGTAGTGCCAAAGCAGGAGGCGGGGCTTGCTGCAGTTCAGGGCATCATAGAGTAGTTCTCCTTCCTCGGGGTTAAAGGTTTGGTCCCTCCCTTCCGGCTACAGAGTCGAGCTCCTACACTGAGAATCTGGAACTGTTCCTCTTTGGAATGAGTACTGTTTTGGTCACGAGGGTGCCTTTGCCCCCTAGGCTGTAGGAAATTGCGTAGAACAGTTTGTTCTGTAAAATCCCTGAAGAAAAATAACGATGACATCATAGCAGAAACCCCCTTTCCCTTGTGTTAGTTAGCTGGTTATAAAATTATTGTCTCCTGGATATCATATGATTGTTTTCATATTCTAATACGCAGAAAGACAGTATTTACATACCAGAGTAATCACATAGCAATTGAATGAAACAGAACTGTCTCAAGTCTCACCTTCTGAAATAAAAAGCAGAAAGACTTCTCTGTTGCAAGTATGGAGAAATTAAAAGCAAAGAAATCTCTCTTTGCTTGGAGTCAGTAGTGCTCTTCAAGGCTTTTCCTAACGGGGATTATGACCTCAGAGGAAACAGGAAGGTAGAGCTTTTTTCTATGACAATGATTTCTACTTACTCAACTGAATGGTTCCATTTTGGGATGTGGGTACCAGGACCAGAAGATCATGTTCTATACGGGGACAGTGTGGAGAATGATTTTTTTTTCTTATGTACAAAAACCCAAGAAAAGTAATAAAAAAAAACCCTGGGATCGGCTATTTTGTGGTCAAGTCACAAAAGTATGAATCCGTGCTCAGGGCCCTCTCGAGTGTTCCCAGCTGGTCAGGGCGTCGTCCAGCCCCGCAGGGCTGCGTGTGTACCCGCCCCTGCCCTCCCAGTTCTTCCAAGGGTGTGACTGTCATTCATAGTCATTCATAGTGTGCCCTGGCCCACGGTACTGTTCGTGCCGTGGGTGTGTGATGGACAGCAGGAAGGTGGCCTTTAATAAGAGCCGTTCTTCTTTTGAGCTGTGCTCACTGAGCTGTTTTTCCAACTTCATAGACTTGCACAAAATGCTTCTTGTGAGGCAGCCACACAGGATGGTTTGGGGGCTGGGACCACAGTGATGACCAAGTCAGTGAGGAGCCAGCCTGAGAAAAGACAGAGATTGGCTGTCCTTAGAGTTTTTGCTTAACCTCCAAAGACTTCCCAAAGAAAAAGAACCTAATTTGAAAGCTGGTAACAGCACTCATCGTGTAATCTCACGTGCGTGCGGTATCTGGTTTCCCCAGTATAGGCTATCTTCTCCAAAATACTATGTAGTATGTAACTGGATACGTGCATGCATACATGTACATCTGAAATACATGTCACATGCAATTCGTGGAGACGTGTGTTACCATAAAATGCAGAAAGAGCCATAAGTTAATTTACATGACAGGCATCCCAGCAGTTCATCCAAACTCATCATTTTTACACTGAATTCTGCTCAAAATGAGTAGGCTGTTGTGACAGACTTGGAAATATGTTTATTACATTGCAAAGTTACTTTTTGTGATGGAAATTGACTTACATCCCAGAACTTAAGTTCTGCTACTGAATATATTTCAAGATGATTCTGCCACTTGTATCTTTTTCTTACCAAACTTCAAACACTCTTCTTTCTTTGACTTTATATTTCTGAGACTGTCTTTAAGCAGAACCAAACCTCTTCCAAGTACAGGAGGAAGAAAGCAAGTCAGGGAGGTTGGAAACAGAAGAGAAAGTTTAATACTGAAACTGTTAAAGAAAATTATTTTTTTGCATTTTTTGGTTTGTGAGAGCATGTTCCTAAGGAAAATAGTGCTGGGGGTGTATTTCACATTTTTTTAAAAGATTTATTTATTTATTCATCACAGACAGAGAGAGAGGCAGAGACACAGACAGAGGGAGGAGCAGGCTCCATGCCGGGAGCCCGACGTGGGATTCGATCCCGGGTCTCCAGGATCGCGCCCTGGGCCAAAGGCAGGCGCCAAACCGCTGCGCCACCCAGGGATCCCCTGTATTTCACTTTTTAATAGTTATTTTCTCAAATTTTAATTGGAAGTTAATGGACCTTTCATTCATATTAAAAATGAATTAAAATCTATGTATTAACAGCAGTAGCTCATGCCCATGACTAGTCTGATAGGATTGGAAGGACAAGGTGACAGATTTATGTTCCTATCTATTTTTTTGAGCAGCCCTTGAGGACTTAGTTGTATAATGGCAGTAATTAGAGATCCAACTTCCCATTAGCCCAGCCCATGTAATCCGATGTTCAAACATATAGGATGCTCTTTCCTCTTATACATAATCTATATATACAGGATAAATATGATTTTCGAAGGCATTGTTTTCAAATTAGTTAAATCTAATTTGAAAAAAAAATCTAACTCTGAATAACAGAACCCAGGGAGTGACAAGGACAGCATCCAGCTCTCCCCAGGAGGACATCATTCGGTGGTTCAAAGAGGAGCAGCTACCTCTGCGAGCAGGCTACCAGAAGGCTTCAGACACTATAGCGCCCTGGTTCCACGGTGAGTACACGGGTTCCTTTGAAGGAACCTCATCTGACGCTGGAGGGTGCTGTGCTTGCCCACCAAGAGGGCAGAAGGAAGAAAGGCTTCCTTTTTTACTTGTGCTGCCCAAGAAGAGTCTTTGAAATTATTTTCACAAAGCAGTTTTTCAAAGGTTTCTCAGTGAGTTGCTAGCTCATGATGAAATTTGAAAACAGTGAGCAGTTGTAGTCTCTGCATGTATAGGTAATTTGTCACCACAGATAAAACACCACTGGGTGGGTGGGGAAAGCAGTGCCTCCTATGCATCTCTACTAGGGCACTGGATTGTGATTTCCTTCAAACAGCAATGCCTTTCATCCACCATCCACCATCCACTGGAAGAGAGTCATACATGCCCTTGTATGTGATGTGCAGAGCATCTGGTGAGCAGTCAAAACATCAGCTCTCCGTTAAGAGGTGAATGACTGAGCAAATCAGCTTTCTCTGTAGTAAGTCAAGTTATCTGAGCTGTATTTTCCTCACTATTAAATGAAGGAGTTGAACTTTATGATTTTTAACCTGAAAATTCTGTTACTTTTTTTGTATATTTTTTATTGGAGTTTGATTTGGCAACATATAACATAACACCCAGTGCTCACCCCGTCAAGTGCCCCTGTCAGTGCCCATCACTCAGTCACCCCAATCCCTATCCCACCTCCCTTTCTACCACCCCTTTTTCGAATCCCAGAGTTAGGAGTCTCTCATGTTTGTCACCCTCACTGATATTTCCCACTCATTTTATCTCCTTTCCCCTTTATTCCCTCTCACTATTTTTTTATATTCCCCAAATGAATGAGACCATATAGTGTTTGTCCTTCTCCGATTGACTTACTTCACTCAGCATAATACTCTCTAGTTCCATCCACATTGAAGCAAATGGTGAGTATCTGTCGTTTCTAATGGCTGAGTAATATTCCATTGTATACATAGACCACATCTTCTTTATCCATTCATCTTTCAATGGACACCAAGGCTCCTTCCACAGTTTGGCTATTGTGGACATTGCTGCTATAAACATTGGGGTGCAGGTGTCTCAGTTTTTCACTGCATCTGTATCTTTGGGGTAAATCCCCAGCAGTGCAATGCTGGGTCACTGGGTAGTTCTATTGTAACTCTTTGAGGAACCTCGACACCATTTTCCAGAGTGGCGGTACCAGTTTACATTCCCACCAACAGAGCAACAGGGTTCCCCTTTCTCCTCATCCTCTCCAACATTGTTATTCCCTATCTTATTAATTTTCACCATTCTCACTGGTGTGAGGTGGTGTCTCATTGTGGTTTTGATTTGTATTTCCCTGATGGCAAGTGATGCAGAGCATTTTCTCATGTGCTTGTTGGCCACGTCTATGTCTTCCTCTGTGAAATTTCTGTTCATGTCTTTTGCCTATTTCATGATTGGATCGTTTGTTTCTTTGCTGTTGAATTTAATAAGTTCTTTATAGATCTTGGATACTAGCCCTTTATCTGATATGTCATTTGCAAATATCTTCTCCCATTTTGTAGGTTGTCTTTTAGTTTTGTTGACTGTTTCTTTTGCTGTGCAGAAGCTTTTTATCTTGATGAAGTCCCAATAATTCATTTTTGCTTTTGTTTCTCTTGCCTTCATGGATGTATCTTGCAAGAAGTTGCTGTGGCCAAGTTCAAAAAGGGTGTTGCCTGTGTTCTCCTCTAGGATTTTGATGGAATCTTGTCTCACAATTTGATCTTTCATCCATTTTGAGTGTGTATCTTTGTGTATGGTGCAAGAGAATGGTCCAGTTTCATACTTCTGTACGTGGCTGTCCAATTTTCCCAGCACCATTTATTGAAGAGACTATCCTTTTTCCAGTGGATAGTCTTTCCTGCTTTGTTGAATATTAGTTGACCATAAAGTTGAGGGCTCATTTCTGGGTTCTCTCTTCTGTTCCATTGATCTATGTGTCTGTTTTTGTGCCAGTACCACACTGTCTTGATGACCACAGCTTTGTAATACAGTTTGAAGTCCGGCATTGTGATGCCCCCAGCTATGGTTTTCTTTTTCAATATTCCCCTGGCTATTCAGGGTCTTTTCTGATTCCACACAAATCTTAAGATGATTTGTTCCAACTCTATGAAGAAAGTCCATGGTATTATGATAGTGATTGCATTAAATGTGTAAATTGCCCTGGGTAGCATTGACATTTTCACAATATTAATTCTTCAACCCATGAGCATGGAATGTTTTTCCATCTCTTTGTGTCTTCCTCAATTTCTTTCAGAAGTGTTCTGTAGTTTTTAGGGTATAGATCCTTTACCTCTTTGGTTAGGTTTATTCCTAGGTATCTTATGCTTTTGGGTGCACTTGTAAATGGGATTGTCTCCTTAATTTCTCTTTCTTCAGTCTCATTGTTAGTGTATAGAAATGCCTCTGATTTCTGGGCATTGATTTTGTATCCTGCCACACTGCTGAATTGCTGTATGAGTTCTAGCAATCTTGGGGTGGAGTCTTTTGGGTTTTCTAGGTACAGTATCATGTCATCTGCGAAGAGGGAGAGTTTGACTTCTTCTTTGCCAATTTGAATGCCTTTTATTTCTTTTTGTTGTCTGATTGCTAAGGCTAGGACTTCTAATATTATGTTGAATAGCAGTGATGAGTGGACATTCCTGTCGTGTTCCTGATCTTAGGGGAAATGTTCCCGGTGTTTCCCCATTGAGAATGATATTTACTGTGGGCTTTTCATAGATGGCTTTTAAGATGCTGAGGAATGTTCCCTCTATCCTTATACTCTGAACAGTTTTGATCAGGAATGGATGCTGTATTTTGTCAAATGCTTTCTCTGCATCTATTGAGACGATCATATGGTTCTTGGTTTTTCTCTTGTTGATATGATCTATCACATTGATTGCTTTACCAGTGTTGAACCAGCCTTGCATCCCAGGGATAAATCCCACTTGGTCATGGTGAATAATCTTCTTAATGTGCTGTCGGATCCTATTGGCTAGTATCTTGTTGAGAATTTTTGCATCTCTGTTCATTACCGTTATTGGTCTATAATTCTCCTTTTTGGTGGGGTCTTTGTCTGGTTTTGGAATTAAGGTGATGCTGGCCTCATAGAATGAGTTTGGAAGTATTCCATCCCTTTCTATTTTTGGAACAGCTCTAGTAGAATAGATATTGTTTCTTCTTTAAACGTTTAATAGAATTCCCCTGGGAAGCCATCTGGCCCTGGACTTTTGAGTCTTGGGAGGTTTTTGATGACTGCTTCAATTTCCTCCCTGGTTATTGGCCTGTTCAGGTTTTCTATTTCTTCCTGTTCCACTTTTGGTAGTTTGTGGTTTTCCAGAAATGCATCCATTTCTTCTAGATTACCTAATTTATTGGCATATAACTGCTCATAATGTTTTTTTAAAATCATTTGTATTTCCTTGATATTGGTTGTGATCTCTCCTTTTTCATTTGTGATTTTATTACTTAGAGTCTTTTCTATTTTGTTTTTAATAAGGCTGGCAAATGGTTTATCTATCTTATTAATTCTTTCAAAGAACCAACTCCTGGTTTTGTTGATCTGTTCAGTCTTTCTGGTCTCTATTTCATTAAGCTCTGCTTGAATCTTTATTAACTCTCTTCTTCTGCTTGATGTAGGTTTTATTTGCTATTCTTTCTCCAGTTCCTTTAGGTGCAAGTTTAGCTTGTGTACTTGAGTTTTTTTCCAATTTTTTGAGGGAGACTTGTATTGTAATGTATTTCCCTCTTAGGACTCTTTTTGCTGTATCCCAAAGATTTTGAATGGTTGTATCTTCGTTCTCATTAGTTTCCATGAATCTTTTTTATTCTTCTTTAATTTCCTGGTTGACCCTTTCATCTATTAGCAGGATGCTCTTTAACCTCCATGTGTTTGAGTTTTTTCCAAATTTCTTTTTTGATTAAGTTCAAGTTTCTTTTTTTTATAATTTTTATTTATTTATGAGAGACAGGAGAGAGAGAGAGAGCAGCAGAGACATAGGCAGAGAGAGGCAGGCTCCATGCAGGAGCCCAATGTGGGATTCGATCCTGGGACAACACCTGAGCCACCCAGGTGTCCCAAATTCAAGTTTCAAATGGTCTGAAAATATGCAGGGGACAATCCCAATCTTTTGGTATCAGTTGAGACCAGATTTGTGACCCAGTATGTGGTCTATTCTGGAGAAATTTCCATGTGCACTTGAGAAGAATTTGTATTCAGTTGCATTTGGATGTACAGTTTTGTAAATGTCTGTGAAATCCATCTGGTCCAGTGTATCATTTAAAGCTCTTGTTTCTTTTTTTTTTTTTTAAGATTTTTATTTATTTATTCATGAGAGACAGAGAGAGAGAGAGAGAGAGAGAGAGAGACAGGCAGAGGGAGAAGCAGGCTCCATGCAGGGAGCCCGAAGCGGGACTCGATCCCAGGTCTGCAGGATCAGGCCCTGGGCTGAAGGCGGTGCTAAACCGCTGAGCTCCCCCCCCCCCACCCTGGGCTGCCCTAAAGCTCTTGTTTCTTTGGAGATGTTGCGCTTAGAATATCTGTCATTTGCAGAAAGTGCCGTGTTGAAAACTCCCAGTATTATTATCTAAGTATGTCCTTACCTTGGTTATTAATTGATTGATATACTTGGCAGCTCCCACATTAGGGGCATAAATATGCATGATTGTTTGGTCTTCTTGTTGGATAGATCCTTTAAGTATGATATAGAGTCCCTCTTCATCTCTTACTACAGTCTTTGGGATAAACACTAATTTATCTGATATGAGGATTGCTACCCCAGCTTTCTTTTGAGGATCATTTGCAAATGGTTCTCCAACCTTTCATTTTCAGGCTGTAGGTGTCCTTAGGTCTAAAATGAGTCTCTAGATGGGCCTTACATTTTTTTTATTTTTTATTTTTTTTTATTTACGATAGTCATACAGAGAGAGAGGGAGAGGCAGAGACACAGGCAGAGGGAGAAGCAGGCTCCATGCACCGGGAGCCCGACGTGGGATTCGATCCCGGGTCTCCAGGATC